CACACCCACCCTCAGCATGGGGGCCTTGATCTGCACCCCCATTCTCCTTCCTCTTCCCCCCTTACCTGCTGCGGTGGGCAGTACTGCACCCCTTATATGTAATTCCTTAGCTAACATATTCCAAAAATTACACAATGAACCTTGTTGCACAACTACAAGGCAACGGCATCATGCCACCAAACTCCCAAAGCCCCCTCCCCTGCCATAGGCAAAGCTGGGGGCTGAGAGCTATCGGGGCTGTACCGTGGACCATGTTGAAATGTGTTCAAGAGATCTGAGGAAGAGGTCCATGCCTTCCGCTAGAAATTTCAAGCGAAGAAAAATGAATTGTCAGTGCAAAGCACAACTGATTTTTACAATGACACAAACAAAGGTTTGCAAAAACTATTCACATTTTCAAACGAGAAGGCAATGTCAGGTAGCAGGAAAACCAACATTTAAGGGTGTTTCAACATGCACGTTTCCCAAGTGGAATAATGCAGAATGCAGTCGAACTTAGGAGCTGCTTTCCAAGTGCGATGAAGCAGAAGTGTCAGGTCAGAAAACCGTGGGGATTATTGAGCACCCCACCCTGGGGGGCCAGGGACCCGAGTCAGAGATGCATATAGCTATTCCTGCTCTCCAGCTGCAGAACTGCCAGGCACCCTGAAGCGCCATGCTTTGCTGCCCACCCCAGTCTTCCCCCTGTCCTGCCCCACTGCCCTGCGGAGGTCGGGGAGAGCCGCTCGCTGTGGGATGCCCGAGACCTGAGCAACCTCCCAGGACACCTTGTGCAGCGTGCAGATATGACTGGAAGTGCTTCAACAACCAAAGACTAACAATAGTTTCTTGAGCCGGGCTCATTGTTTGGAGCACTGTGGCCCTTTCTGGAGGGCTTCTTAGGACTTGCTGTCTGCTCACTCACCCTTTGAAGCATTTGTTGCTTTTGAAGCGAATGCTGCATCTGCCCAGGGCCTAGGCTCCATGCAGAAGGAGAGAAAGATGCCTGCGGAGATGGCTCCCAAGACAAGAAGAGATCTTCCTTCTTCCCCTCCTTCCCCTTGGGGCTGCAGGGAACGGGAATGCCACCCTAAATAGGAAAGGGCCCTGATATCACCCCATGATTCATGCTCCCCACAAGCTCCTGGAGACCAAGTGGGTATTTGTTCTGCCCCGAGCCCCCACAAACACTCTGGGTCAGTTTGCAGTTGCCAAAGTTTATTGCAGAAAGCAGCAAGAAATTCAGCTCGGTAACAGGACTGAGAACTCGGCAGCAGGAGGGCACTTGCTCTGCACCAGGATCCGGCCCCTCCTGTGGGTGCAGGAGGTGGAAGGGGTGGGTGTAGCGCACAACGGACCCTGATGGCAGCAGAAGAGCTGGAATGGGGACACTAAGATTTGGAGCCAAATGATCTGGCTTCATGGTCCAGGAGGGAGCAGGGAGAGGGCCAGGCTGAGAGGCTTTGGCCCTGGGGACCGGCTGCGAGCAAAAGCTGCGGAGCAGTGCGGGATTCATGACAAGCAGCCGCTCACTGGGCTGTAGTGCACAGGCAGGTTTCCATAGCACTCAATGCAAATCCTCTGGTTAGAGGAGCTAGCCTGGTACATACAGCCATTGGGTGGGGAGCCGCTTACAAACGTGCAGAGAGTGGCAAAGAAGTTGTTCTTGCTATAGTCATACTTGGTTTTTGTTATGTATGTCCCAGCCTCAGTGCAGACCCTATTTATTGATAGTGAGTAAGCATGGATGAAGGTGTTGTTACCCCTGCAGGTGCCCAAGGTCATTCTCTGAGCTATCATCCTCCGATTGCAGTAGGCGTCATTATACGGCGGGCTAGTCAACGGGTCGACGTGCTGCCTCAGAAACTTCTGGTTTGGTGTTTCCCTGCTGTCCACGGCTGGCCAGGCTGACGGCAGGGTCAGCAGGAGGAGCAGCAGGGCAGGGCAGGCATCTCTTGGAGACATGGCTTCCTTAGATTTGCTCCAAGTACCTGGTTGGAGCCAACAAGGGACAAGGATGACTACTCCCTCTTGCCCTTCCCCTCCCTCTTGCCTACCCCGCGCAGCTCCAAAGACCCTTCCCTGCCAAAAGCCCCCCACCACGCCAGCTCCTCGAGGCAGGAACTGGCTCTTTTAATGGGTGAGGTTATTGCTGAGCACAGTGGGTTTGGCCCTGCCATGACAGATGTGACCAGGAGATTGGCTGCAGATCGGATGAGAGATCAGATGCCAGTGCCAGGAGCCTCTGGGAGATCTCCAGAGCAGCAGGCTGTGTCCATGGCCTCGAACTGCCTCTACAGCCATGTCCATGCTGCCCAGGTGTTACTGTTCGGTCCTTTTCCCTAGTTGGGATCCCCACCACTCTACCTGGCCCCTTTTGCTCAGGTCCATTGCACCAGACCTTGGCTTATTTGGGCACCAGCCCTTGCCTTGTCCTTCCCAACCTTGGGACACAAGCCCTGTCTCGCCCTTTAGTGCCATGGACCCCCAGCCTCTGGTCTCTGTCTCTCTTTGGCCTCCATCTCTGCCCTGTTCTGTACTGGGCCCAGTCTCCCCCCTGCTCTGGGCAACACTGGGACCTAGTCCTGCCCTTTTCTCCCAACCCAAACCACTGGTCATACAAGAGACAGAGCGGCAGGTTCACATCTTAACTCAACACCCCCCACAATGATTAAGCTTACACAAGAACAAAACCGGCATGCTGTCTCTCCAACAGAGGCAGCCCCACCGGGGCAGAAACATGGGAAATGAGCAAACAGGAAAGTAAGTCATTGCTTTAACACAACAAAATCCTCCTTGTTCAGAGTGCACGAATCTCACTCAGGCACTCGCCAACCCAGGTCTCTCACCCGACTCCCAAAGGCTCTGTCTATTCCTCGAGCTCTCCCGCACGTGCTCCTTCTGTGTATGGGGTGCAGGTCCTGGGGGAGCTGCCTCCAGTCACTGGTCTGTTCAGTGGTTTCCTCTCTGGTTGCTGCCAACTCTCCTGCACACGCTCTTATTTAACCTCTTTGATTATCGCTTGCTTCAGGTGACTTTAACTGGCTTCCTGAG